TCGTTAATTAGTTTATTAATCATTATTAGAACAAAGCTTATGAGTTAGGATTAGCAACTTGCATGTTCCATAATTTGTCATTACATGCATACAATAACCGTAATGCATGCACAATTAGTGTGATAAAATCAAGCAGCAATAACTTTATTCTTAAGTAAACTTAAAGTAATTATTAATTAGTTAATTGATTAAAAGTGAGTGAGTTATATAATTAAATAATCCAAGTCAAATGTAGTAACTAGGATATGTGTGTACGTACCATCTGCGACGAAACTGTGTCGTACTAGCTAGCAAACGTTATAACAGATTGGTGCTTTTAATTTATTTCTACCAGCTAAACATTAAAGAATTTATTGACTTAATTAATTTAATAGTTCCACTTGTAGAACTAATAAATTCATCAATTTCCAATAATTAGCTGGATTTAAGCTTATTGGTAAGTGCCCATTGAAAATTAAAGAACCGGCTGTCCAATTGAGTAACAAAGTTGGTTATACAATAATATGCAATTGATGTTGACTTTATATGATATGTGACTTTAATCGAAATATAGTATATATAGTTTATGTTGGTGCATATGTCGAATAGTTCTATTAATATTGAGTTTAGCTTAACGTTTTTACTTATATAGTTATATGTTCTATGTAGCTTTAATGTCAGGTTGTATATATCATTGTCCTTTACAGGTTGTAATAGAGTTTTAGACCTATAATCAAAGCTTTCGTATGAGGAGAGCTTGTAAGTAGATAGAATTTGTGATTGTACATCAACAATATAGGTTTTGGTAGATACAGTTGAAGGAAGTGTCCACGATCAAGTATAACAATTATTTAATATAGGATTAATTAAAGAGATTATGAATTCGGTTATATTAGCTAGGGGTCGTCTTGTTTTGCTAGAAATCAAATACAACATGTAAGCTTATTATATAATGGGTCGGGTTTGCTACTAATTATAACCAGATCCTATAAGGTCACACATATAAACATGAGATGGATCAAATCACACCAAGCCCAATGAAGGACTAGGTGGCCGGTCAAAGAGGAGAAAAATTACTAATTAGGGGAGTAGGGTTTGCAATCCTATAACCTAATTTCTATTATATATTAGGCTTAATATTATGTATGAAATACAGAATAATTAAGAGTGCATACAACCCTAATACTACTTCTCATAGTCGTATCCCTACAAAGCAAGAGAGTAAAAAGTTTATGTTCTTCCTTACTAGCATACGCGGAGATCTTTCACGGGTATATATGTGGACTACGTAGAGTGTAGGATTGTGTAAATCTCCTTGAGTATCATATTCTCATTAATCAATATATATAGGGATTACAACCTAGATTACGAGAATATAAGATATACATAAATACACAAATATCTTAACAGAATATATACTAGAGAATATTATCATATACTATAACACGCCCCGCAGTCATAGCGGGAGGAGGTCGGACGCTAAGACTGTATCGAAAGTCCAAAAATAGTTGTCGCGGTAAACCCTTAGTGAAAATATCGGCGTATTGATAAGCCGAGGGAACGTGTAGAACCCGTATGTGACCCATTGCAACTTTCTCACGAACGAAATGGATATCCATCTCTATGTGCTTCGTTCGTTGATGATTAACCTGGTTGCTAGATAGGGAAACGGCAGACACATTGTCACAGTACACTAGGGATGCCCGGCGAATTGGGCAGTAGAGCTCGAGTAGAAGATTTCTGAGCCAACAAAGTTCAGCGACACCTCTATATTCTGATTCTGCACTAGACTTAGACAGTGTTGCTTGGCGTTTGGCAGACCAAGAAACCAAATTATCTCCCAAGTAGACACAATAACCTGAAGTTGAGCGACGTGTATCGGGGCAGCCCCCCCAATCAGCGTATGTGTAGGAGATTAAGGCCGTAGGTGCAGATGGATACAGATGAAGGTCGAGTTCAGCAGTGCCCTTTATGTATCTAATTATGCGTTTGAGAGCATTGTAATGAGGCTCTCGTGGGGCATGCATAAAAAAAAGGCAGATTTGCTGAACCGCGTAGGATATATCTAGGCGAGTGAACGTGAGATACTGCAATGCCCCAACTAAGCTCCTGTACAAGGAGGGGTCCGAAATCAACTCACCATCACTAGCACTTAGCTTCGAACTTGTGTCAACAGGCGTGGCAACACTTTTGCAATTACTCATTTTAGCTCTCTGTATTATTTCCTCAGCGTACTTGGTGTGTGAAAGGAACATGTTGTTCGGTGTTCGGGTGACCGAAATTCCCAAGAAATAGCTGAGTTTCCCAAGGTCAGTCATGGAAAATTCTGATTTGAGCATTGCAATAATCGAATTCTTCAACCCCTCTGTAGAAGCCGTGAGTACTATGTCGTCCACATAGAGTAATAAATAGGTTTTTTCAATACCTCGATGAAATATGAAAAGGGAGTTGTCACTTGTGCTACACGTGAAGCCAATATGTAGCAAATAATTCGCAAGCCGTTGATACCACGCCCTTGGGGCTTGTTTCAACCCATATAATGACGGCACACATATTTGGGATTATGTTTGTTGACAAACCCCGGTGGTTGATGCATATACACAGTTTCTTGAAGATTTCCATGAAGAAAAGCGTTCTTAACGTCCAATTGATGAATTGGCCAATTTTTCCCCATTGCAATACTCAACACGGTCCGAATGGTAGCCGGTTTGACCACCGGGCTAAAAGTTTCATCACAGTCCACGCCCACCTGATGTGATTTTCCATTAACTACAAGACGAGCTTTATATCGTTCCAAATCACCATTCTCTTTGTACTTGTGCTTGTACAACCACATACACCGAATAACATTAACCCCATCAGGTCTTGGAACAAGGTCCCAAGTGTGTTGCTTAGTGAGAGCATCAAACTCCTCGTGCATGGCCGTATTCCAATTTTTATCAAGTAAGGCTAATTTAGGGCTCTTAGGAATTGGAGATATGGCTTGGACATTCAGGTTGAAAGGGATTTTCATCTTGAATATACCGTGCTTTGCACGTGTTTGCATCTGAGGAGAGTCGGGTATGGGTATAGGTGGCAGGGATCCGAATTGGATAGAAGGAGAATGTGATGTGGGGCTTGGTGGGTGGGCCGCAGGTGAGGTATTAGACTGCCCAGCTGCAGTGCGCAAATGAGAGAGAGAGGAGGATGGGCTGCTGGTGTGTTTGGGCCGGTTGGTGTGGGCTGAGTGGGGGTGGGCCTGGAGTGGTCCGTGAGGATGTGGGTAATAGATGGTGACATGTCAGAATCTAAGAAATCATAATCCTCATTTCGAAATTGTGTGAGATTGGAAAAGGGAAAAATATTTTCCACAAATGTGACATGGCCTGAGATGATGGTCTTATTTGTGGATAAATCATAGCAAATGTACCCCCTATGATTTGCGGGATACCCCAAAAAAACGCAAGGTATAGACCTAGGGGCGAGTTTGTGAGGAGCTGTTGAGGATAAGTTGGGGTATCAAAGACAACCGAAGGTACGGAGGTGCTCATAGGTGGGTGTGCGACGAAACAGAATCTCAGTTGGACACTTGTTTTGCAAAGTTTTAGTTGGAAGAACATTGAGTATGTGTGTTACAACCCCTAGAGCATATACCCAAAAAGAAGGAGGAAGTGAGGCATGGAAGAGAAGAGTGTGAACCATGTTGTTGGTGGTCCGAATGATGCGTTCGGCCTTACCATTTTGAGAGGATGTGTTTGGGCAAGAGAAACGAAAAACAAGACCATGAAGGGTGCAAAATTGACGGAAGGGAGAGTTATCAAATTCGCGCCAGTTAGCACTTTGAAAGGATTTGATTTGTTTTTCAAATTGAGTAAGGACATAAGCTCTAAATTGTAGGAATATATCAAACACTTGTGACTTATATTTTATTGGATAAATCCATAAAAAATGGGAATAATCATCAAGAAGCACCAAATAATATTTGTGACCCAATTTGCTAGGGATAGGGGAAGTCCATAAATCCGCATGAATAATGTCAAAAGGAGAAAAAGTGACACTAAGAGAATTATTAAATGATAATTTAACATGCTTCCCAAGAGGGCAATAATAACAAAACTGGGTTTTATCCCCTTTATTACATTGAATTAAATTCCTACTTTTTAACTGATTGAAAACAGATGTCCCGGGATGACCAAGGCGACCATGCCAGATTGAAGGAGAGAGGGCTGCAAGAGAGAGTTGTTGATGAACTTGAGCGGCGGAAGGTGTGAAAGGATAGAGGTCCCCTACACTATTGCACCTCGCTAGAGGTTTCCCCGTATTGAGATCCTTCACAGAAAAACCGAAACGGTTACTCGACAGAAACATAATTGTCACAAGTAAACTTCCTAACAGAGATTAAGTTTTTAATGACATTAGGAGTAAAGAGGACATGTTTAAGGGTGAAGGGAGTGTTAGGGGGGGAGTAGTGGTAGAGCCATAGCCTTGAATTGGAATACGTTTTCCTTCACCAACCAAAATAAATTGAGGAGTACTAAGAGTATATAGTTTCGAGAGATTATCGGAATTATAAGTGAGATGAGACGATGCACCGGTATCCATGTACCATCCATTGTCAGGTGGATTAAGGGACATGGAACTATAAGTGTGACCCAAATCGGTTGGTGACATAGGTGGACCGTGCTGCTGTTGTTGAGATGAGAAGTAAGCCTGCTGCTGTTGGGGCGGACGTGGGCCTAGGAGACCTTGAGAAAGAGGGCGGCCGTACTATTGAGGTGCTGGGCCTGTGGGGTAAGGACAAGGGGGGGGGGGGGGGAAGCCCATTGAGGCTGACCTAGGTATTGCTGTCATGCCCATTGTTGCTGGGTTTGGGGTTGTCCAATAGGCGGGCTTTGTAGAGCTTGTTGTTGCTGGCCTGCAATGTTGCTGGAGTTGGACCGCCCCCTGCCACGGCCTTTTGGCTTCCCTTTGCCGCGGCCTGCTCCACGGCCACCACCACACTGCTGCTGGTTGGGCTGCTGTTGCTGAGGCGGCGTGGTGGTCTATTTTGCGGCGGAGGACTGAGCCACTAGTGCTTGCTGACTATGCTCTTCTTGTTTCGCCTTGCAAGTTTCCTCCAATAAGAATTGAGATCGGGCTTTATTGAACGAGGGCATTGGGTCGGCCTGTTGTACCATGACAACAAGCTTGTCATATTCACCTTTAGGAAGCCCTTTGATGAGCTGCAACACCATGGAATTGTCGTCAACCGGTCGATCGACATTGGCCAGTTGATCTGCAAGTAATTTCAATTGCTTGCAATATTCGCCCATATTTGCATAATTCTCCAACCTTGTGTTAGTGAATTGTTCCTCGAGATATACAGCACGAGTGTGCTTATTATCATGGAAGATCTCCTCCAATCGAGTCCATAACTGCAAAGCCGTAGCACCAGGCTTCATAATGGTGTGAACCAAATCCTTGGATATTGTTCCATATATCCAATTTTTGACAATAGCATCGAGACGAGTCTAGGTATGTTGATCAACGTCGGAAGGACGAGTGACAATGTTGTCAATGTGATCGAGGACATTAAAGGCACAAGCCTGTATTTGGAACAATTCAGCCCAAGTTGCATACTGGCTGTCCTCTTGATCCAAAGTGATGGACATGAGGTTGCGGATATTGGTCACCGCATAAGCAGGATGAAAAGAAGAGGGAGGAGGGGGGAGGAGGAGTATCATTGTTGGAGGAGGAACCATCATCAACGGCCATGGGTGAGAAGGGAGAGCAGAGGCTGAAGAAAATTCCTATTAGGCTCTGATACCATGTAGGATTGTGTAAATCTCCTTGAGTATCATATTCTCATTAATCAATATATATAGGGATTACAACCTAGATTACGAGAATATAAGATATACATAAATACACAAATATCTTAACAGAATATATACTAGAGAATATTATCATATACTCTAACATAGAGGAATCACAATCGAGGTTCTTGATCTCCAGGCCAAAAGGACCGAAGGAGGCCTATCAAAGGCTAAAAGATTGTACAGTACACGCATAAAAGATTTACCTACTCCTATTATGTGATTCATATTGATTATATGCATGAGATCTTGTTTACATGTTTAGGAAGCATCCTAAAATTTGTTGTAGTATCATAAGTTTCTACGACAATAGTTATAAAATCAAGTTAACCAACATTTAATTAATTAAGATCCACCACGAATGAGTTTAATCCATGTAAACGTGATATGTCTAGCCCATTTAGTTTGATCAATGTATTATTAGTATCAACTTAGCTAATCAAATTGATTAGCATATTTTTCATGTTATTTAAGCTCTTCTAGTATTGTCGCATAAGGGTCCATTTCTATAAGCTTTATTTAGTTACAAGTGCAACTAATTTTCCAATTAATAATTTGTATATCTATCCACCTCTTTTTGTCTCCTAATAAACTTGTGTGTTAATTAAATAAAAGAAAAGAAAAGAAAAGGTAAGATATATGATTTTATAAACAAAAAAGGTACTCTGTACACTAATTTAAGTTGAAATATTACAAAAATACATTTACTATATTTATAAAAGTCACATGCACCAATAAACTTATTTAATTAAATTGTTCTTTGAATTTTATATAAGAAGATGTTTACTTGAATTGTTCTATTACAAACTACTATGCATTTTTTTTTATTTTAAACCAATTAACCTGAGAGATACTAATACTTGTATGACTTTGAAAGTTCATTTATTCAATTTAAAGTATTCCGTAGCTGTTTGAAAGAGACACAAAATCATTAAGTGCAATTGAATCATCCAATATTCTAAAGTTATTTTAAATAATATTATACATATTCAACAAAGTTATTAAGGCGAGGAAAAACATAAGAAAACAAAATTATCAGCCAAAATCATAAATATATGTAATTGAGCAAATTATGATTTTTTATATATTGTACCACATATGCGCTTTTAAAATTATGTTGTTTATTTTCTTATCAAATTTTAGAAAGTTTTGAGCAAATTATTATAACATCGCTCTATTGTTAAAATTGAAATACTATAAGGAAACTTTAATAATGATCCCATAATATTAAAATTTAAACTATCTATTTGAATAATGAAAATTGATACAATTTCTTGGGGGACTGAAGATGAATCTATCTTTATCTAACATAAATATAACTATACAAATAAAATTTAATTATCTTGAATTTTCAATGGGTGTAGGTGTGGATAAGCCTAACAAATTAATAGAAATATCGCAATCATCTTTACTTATTTTATCCTCTAGGCTCTAGCTATAAGGCAACTTATTTTCCAACTAAAAAAAAAAAAAAAAAAAAAAAAAAAAAAAAAAAAAAAACTTATATATGAATTTCAATTACCTCTAATTTATACATTAATGACTAGATTAGACTGTGTATCAACCCATTGATTAGACCTATATGTCCCTTCTTCTTTGGTAGGTTAAATATATATAGCACCTAAGTAGGAAGATTAGACATGAGCTAATGACCTTTCCTCCCTTCTTCTATTTGCTAGGTAATGATATTCACTTATCAATACACTAAAATAATTTACAGTTAAAGTTGATAATTCTTTTCCAAAAAAAAAAAAAAATGATGACTTTTTACTTAAAAAATACGAAGCATTAGTGTAGCAAAATGTCACACAAACAAAGCATATATATATATAACCTAGAATTTTTAGGCACAAGTAAAAAAAATACAAAGTATATATCAAAACAAGTAAAAATATGAACATGTCACATTTTTGATAGATAAAAAAAAGAAAATATGACTTGTCTAAAAGTGGTTTTGAAGAATAATGGAGTGGGCCAATTGGATAACAAAAGGGGAACACTTTCTACTGTATTTGGTCCAAATGAGGCCCATTTTCTTAATTGCCAATTCACACTTTGATAGTCCTACTATTAAAGCTTCGTGGGAGCCGAGGTCCCTGAGGACAAAATAAAGTTGGTCATCCATTCGTGTTTGATAAATTTGAATTTTATTCATTTACATTGACTAGGTAGTCTTAATAAGTTTTAATTTGAATTTTAGTTTTCTCGTATAAAAAAATAAATACATAGTAAATAAATGAAAAAAGGTTAGTTTTTAACACGAAAAAAATAATATTATAACACCATCAAAAGTTTAAAATTTTTTATTTTACCCCTATTTAACGGTTGCCGTCTAAAAATCCATTAAGTAGGGGCTATTGTGCCACATGTCGCCAAATAATTAGTTACAAAAAACAAAAACCCTAAATTAAGTAATAAACCAGCCACCCCAACCCCAATTCCCCACTGCTGGCAGCAACGCCACCCATTGTCCCACCCAACAACCCCAAATCCCAACCCTAGCCACCGCAATTTCCGCCCCCTCCCTTTCCCCACCCCTTCCCTAAAATCGACAATAGCTCCCCAACGGCTGCTAAAAATGAGTGGTCGTTTTTAAAACCACCCAACATCGACCACCAATAACGGCCGCTAGTGGTCAAAAAAACCATTTTAGGCCCTAAGTGGTAAAAAACAACCCTTATCGTCCATAAATCGATTATTTTCAACCCTTAAAAGCCGTTTTATGGTGGTTGTTTCTAAGGGGTGTGAAAAGCGACCACCCGTTTTTGGTGATTGTTGTGGTTGGGTTTCCAGCTTTAGGGAGGGAATAGAGTGGGGTGGAGAATCTGGTAGCTGGGGCTCAGAATGACGGTGCGTGTTAGGGTGGGGTAGTGGTTGCGACGTTCTGCAAGCAGTGGTGGAGTGAGTTTGAGTTAGTTTTAGGGTTTTTTTTATTTTGGACCAATAATATGTTGACACGTAGGCATTGTGGGCCCCACTAATGGATTCCATCCATGAATCAGTTAAGTGGTGGTAAAAGCATATTGTGTTAACATAAATTTATTTTTTTTTTCTTTTTTTGTAGTGTTAAAAACCATTTTCGTCTTTTATTATGGTGTTAAAATTCAAAATTTTCTAATAAATGACCTTTTGTTTTCCACAAACTTTCATGTGGTTGTGGCCTGGTGTGGCCAACCATTATGGGGGGTTATTTTGTTAGTGCTATAAGGGTTACTCAATGGATCTTAGGTTACTAAGTCGGTCAAGGGTTACTCACGCTGGTCAAGGGTTATTCGATCAATTAGAGATTACTCGTCGGTTATGGATTACTTGATGTGTGTCAGCAGACCACATAGATTGGCCAGTCGCACAAAAAAGTTGTTGTGTTTACTACCTAAAGTGTAGGAAGAGGGACCTATGGCATATATAGGTATTTTTTTTTTATCATCTATTATTTTGTATGATTAAATAGATTAACAAGTAACTATATTTGAAGTCGGTTGGTCATTTATAGTAATATTGTATATTTGTAATGTTTATCTTGTTAGGAGTTTTAGGTAAGTTAGATCTTGTGTCTATTGTGTATATATATGTCCTTAATATTAATACAAAGGCTAAGCCGTTTTCTCCAGTTTTCTTTGATTTTAACATGGTATCACAACCTCTCTCATTTCTAGAGATTTGTTTTGTCCTGGTTTGTTCATCAAATTAATTTTTTTTCCCGCAATTTGTTTTGAGATTATGGCTTCAATTTTATTTTTTATTTCCCCCAAAATTTTCTGGTTTAGTCAAAATTAGGTTTTTCATACCCTATTTTTGCGAGTTTGGTTGCTTGGGTGCTGCGTGTTGTAGTACTCAGTTTGCTATTGTGTACGTATGTGCATCTTGTGTGCGTGCTGGTGTGTCTGGTTAGTTGGTGCCGCAATGCAGTGTGTGGTGTGTGCGAGTAGTGTGCATGTGTTGCTTACGAGGTGTTGTTGCTTGTTGTGTGGCGTGGATTGTGCTGCTACTTGTGTGTGTTGTGTGCGCTGACCATGTGGTGAGGCGTGATGGTTTGTGGTGTGTGGTACGTGAAGGTTTTATGTCTTCAAAAAGTTCAATTACTAGATATAAATAATGGATCAAATTATGGAGATAATTAAGCTCGTTCTTTTAAGTTGTCGTTTTTCATAGGTAGAGGTACTTACGACCTTTGGGCTAGTAAAATAGTCCAAAACCTAATAATTGAAAAAATCCTATAAGGTTACATAAAGGGCCTAGATTGAGCATAAGAGGAAGAAGCTCATGTTGGGCCTCATGCCCTCATCCTTTGAGGTGGCTGGCCATTTGGGTAGGTTTAGAGGTTTTGAGCTTTGCTTCCTAGTCTAATTATAATATGATTATAAATAGACTACGTGCCTAACTAAGGTTGAACTATTAATTCAGTAATCACCCTAACTAGCAAACACAAGCCAACCCCCTCTCAAACTCTCTCTCTCTCTCTCTCTCTCTCTCTCTCTCTCTCTCTTATGTGTCCGTCCCTCTTAGTGTGTGCTTGTGGTGTGTGCACAGTGGTGGTTGTTTGTGGTGGTGTCCGGTTGTCCGTAAAGGTGGTGATCGTGGTGTTTCCCCTTCATCCGACCAATATAACATTGGGGGGCGGCTTATTCGAATCCCGTGGACTAAGTAGATCGAGAAGCAACGCTTGGGGCTCTATTCTCTCCCTAATTGTCAATCAACTTGCTACGTGGAAATCATGCTTCAAAAGTATAATTATACGATTCTTGTGTGTTATGCATGCGATTTTGTTTTAGGTTCGTATGAATAGAGATTTATGAAATTTTACTTAGAGTACCTAAACCCCTATAGTGGTATTAGTTAGCCTCTTGCATGAACACGCTTGATTATAATAACACGATTATTTGAAATCCAAGTTTATAATTTTATAATCAATTAAGAGGGAGAATTAATTTAATTATGCTTTAATTATTATATTAAATGTGATTTAACTCTTAGAATTGATTAAATGTGATTTATTTTGTTTAAAATACTCAATGGGAGGACATAAATTTTGCCCTGCAGTTTTCAAAAAATTCAAACCCTAAACCCTAATTTTCAAATTTTCGAAAAACCCTAGGCCTAAATTTTGATTTTGTGCTTGAGTTTAGGTTTAATTCGATTTGACTCAGGTTTCATAATACTAATTAGGTTGACTTATACATTAAAATGTTTGTGTATGATCAACAATTTAATTTTAAGAGTTAGAATTAAATTGGAATTAATTTCATGATGAACTCTATTTTAAAATTGAATTGGGATTTAATTATAATAATTAGAATGATTTAATTTAATTTTACAAAAGATGTTTTAATTAAATTAAAACATTGAAAAAAAGAGAGGTTAAATCGGTCGGCAACCACGGCTGGGTGGCGCACCATATAGATTGGGCACACTGTTTTTATATAAGGAGACAAAGGAGTACGGAGTATTTGATATTTGATACTACCTCCGTTAACTTTTTTTTGCAACTTTAGGTATTATGTATGAGATAATATAAAATATTCCAAAATTACAACTTAAAATTAAATGAGTTAATACTTCGTATTTCAGATCGGATATCCGATTTGGCCACAATACAGGGCATTGGACACACACATATTCTTAGGTGCACACTCATACACCTAGAAATAGGTGTAACAACAACACAATATGAACATTAGCTTTTGAGAAAGTGAACATTAGCTTTCTTCTCCTCTATTTTTCTCCTTCGTTTTTTATTTTCTCCCTCCTCTGTTTTTTCCCCCTTTTTTACACTTTTTTGATTGAATTTGTTTCTTACAACATGAAAATAGTTATTAAGTATGATTTTTTTTTGTGAATTTCGATTTTGTGCTTTAATTTCGATTGATTAAGGTTTATATGAATCTTTGAATTCACAAATTATACTCTGTTTTTTCTCCTTCCTTCTTTAATTCCTTTTTCCTCTGTTTTTTTCCTATTTTTCTCGTTTTGTTTTGATTTAACGATTGAATGTGTTCCTTACAATATGGAATTGGTTGTTTATCTGATTTTTTTTAGCTTTGATTAATTTCATATGTGTTTCATCTGATTTTCTGCATTTTTTTTATCAATGAACATAATCGTGCAAAATATGAACATATGCATAGGTTCTTCAAATATGCGTAAAAAATATGAACATATGCTATTAAGAAAGAGAACATATGCATAAACAGACTTAATGATAATATTTATGAACAATAAATATTTAATATGAATATTTATATTATGAACATATAAAATATTATTATGAATATAAGGCATTTAACTATGAACATAAAAAAATTGAAGAAATAAATAATAAATATGATTATGAAACATGCATATGCATCATAAGTATTCAAAATATGAACATATGCATTCAGAATATGAACATATGCATTGGTTTATTTTTTAATGCGTATGAACATAATTAAGCATTTCAGAAGGTGAACATATACATAAGAAATATGAACATATGGATTTAGAAAGTGAATATATGCATTTCAGAAAGTTTACAAAAGGATTCAGTATATGAACATAAGAATTCAAAATATGAACATATGCATTTCAAAATGTGAACATAAGGTATCCGTTTGATTTCACTAATTTTTTTTTTGACAATTCCAATAATAGAGTATCGAACAATATTCAAACAAAATTAAGTGATAATCATATAAATTCAAACAAAATTAAGTGAAATTTACATAAAATTGTCTTTTTTTTAGGGAAAATCATTTTGATTTTGCATCTCTTCTCTAATGTCCATTGATGTTTTTGCAGTTTTTTAGCGAGATAAAATGAAATAGAGGAGAGAGAAAGTGAAAAAGAGGAGAGAGAAAATCATATAGAAGAAGAGTTTGAGTTTGGAAGTGACGTAACATTTATTGCAGTTTTTGCAGTTTTCATGTTTTTTAGTTTTAGGGTTTTTCTTAATTGGGTTGTGTATAATTGGGCTTTTGGACTGTGTTGTTACACTTATTTAAGGTGCACAATGGTGCACCTTAGACTAATTGTTTGCCAACCTCAACCTCAAAGAAATAAGGCCTAGATCAAAGGGCCCCCCATCCAAAACCAACCTCAGACCCGTTAATCTGTGCCTTCTTCTCAATTCTCCCAAACAAGAACAATTAATCTCGAAATTCATAGAGAGAAATTAGAGGAGAGAGAAAATGGTGAAAATGGGAACTTTCTTCGCGATGTCATTGGGTGCTTTCGCCTTCTGGCAATCTATGGACAAAGTTCATGTTTGGATCGCTCTTCATCAAGATGAAAAGGTATACCCTTTTTCTGCTTGTCAAATTTTGATCTTGTTTTTCTCGAAACCCTAAATTTATACTTACTGCTGATTATTAGCTCTATCATTGTCTGTCCAACTTCAATTTTTATCGAATTAGTTTTTATAATGGAAATTGGAAGTTTAATTTTTAATTTGTGTCTGGTGATTTAGCTGGGAATGTAGTAGGAATTCAATTGATGAGGGGAAAATACATGGAAATCTTGCTAGAAGAATTGAAATTAGAATCCTGTTTTGATGTGAAAATTATTAATTATTTAGGGTAATCAGATAGACGATGTTTGCCCATTATACCGATATCAATCAGTCTGATTCTGTTCTTTTTATTACTTAATTAAGGATTTTTCTGTGTTCGTTTGTCATTAGTTACATTCTTCATCCGGATTTAGTTGTCGCATTACTAATTTAAATTCAATGTCAACATGATTATTAGTTTAGGATGGAGGATGTAAATTGTTGGGGAATTATAAGCAATATTGTTTATCTCATGTTGTTTAGGGAGGATGTTTAGTGTTAAATTAGGTTATTTTACCCTAGTGGAAATATGTATGAATGGATGTTATGTCGTTGTGTTTGAGTTTAGTTGGATGTTGTATCCTCGTGATTGAAGAGTTGAAAAGATAGAACTGTTGATGGCAAAACTGAAACCAGACCCCTTTCTTTCAAAATGAAGATAGAAATGTTGCTTGGAGAAGTGACTTAGATTTTGGAAAATGATGTTTTAAGGTTAAGGAATAAGAATCTAGTATTCATTCTTTGTACTTGTATGATATGTTGGCTGGTGGTTTCAAAAAAAAAAAATGTTGGCTGGTTAAGTATGATATGTTGCTGGTTAAGTAATTAGAACTCATTTCACTTCTGTGCATTTTACTTACCAATTTCATTCTATGATGTTGGCGGATTGCTTCAGTGAATTTCTAGTAGTAGACTATATTCTAGTCTTGGTCAATGGTAATTAGTTTCCTTGCCTTTTCCCATAATCTCTTATAACTACCTCTAGGGGCTAGGTGGGCAGTTAGATACTTGTATGAATGTAGCAGTCGGGTTCTGTGTTTCTTGTAAGTACTAGAGATTGATATGTGATCCAGTATATTTGGATCTTGGTTTGATATTAATCATATACTGTCCTGCTCTGATTTTTCCTGCTTCTGTAGCATATTTTACTTCTCTGTTACCTTAGATCTCGAAAATGTTGCTCTGTTTGGTATTGAGATTTGAATCTCTTGATTAGAGCAAAACCTAAATGCATGAGCTGCTGAAGGTAAACCCTGTGATGAGTGTAGCAAAGCCAGAAAGTAATAAATCGGCCAAGTTTTGCTTTAGTTTAGGTGGAGTGATTTTGGGAAGAATGTAAGAAAAAATATATTATTTTCTAGTTTTTATAATCGAATTAGATAATAGTTAGGCTGGATGGAAGGCTCTGCACTTCATTACCCTGTAGAGAGAGAGCGTGAGTGAGAGCACATCAGCACACAGCATAAAATCTCTCTTATTGATGACTTATAGGTCAATGGAAGATGCTCAATAAGGCTTTTAGCAAGTACTACAACCACTTGCCCCCCTTTTTGTTCATTAAAAGTTCTAAGTTTTGTACCAATCAGTTTTTTTGTAGCTGAGAGATTTTGAGGCTTTGATCTTGTATGTAAAATAAAGCAAGCTTCTGGTTTGTTTTTGCAGAGAGAACGAGAGGAGAAGGAAATGGAGATCAGGAGAGTTAGAGAAGAGCTCATGCAACAAGCGAAGCAAAGGGATTCTGTTGCATAATATTGTGTTTATAGCTTGGAGCTATCTGTATTTTGCTGTTATCCTTGAGTGTTTTTATTCTGACTTTTGATCAACTTTTCATAAATTGCATTCTGATAAATCGATGGAAGATTACTGTCGTAAACAAAATACTGTGTTGAGCTTATAAAATATTCAATGGCAAGTACACTGGTATATTTAATCGTGGATTATTGGCAAAATTTCTGATTTGCTTCTTGTTTCTTGATTCTCTTGATCTATGCCTCTTCTGATTTGTTAATGTTCAATTATATATCTGTAATAGTCTACATCTGTGATTCCCCTTCCAATTTTACCCTTGGTTTACTGTCTCCGAAACAAAGCTGACTGCCTATCCATTCACCCGCCTGGCTTGAATACAAATTTTATAACTTGTGTGCTATATTCTAATTTTGAATGAAGATCGGCAACACTGAAGATAGTTTCATGTTGATGATTTTTATTTTTATTTTTTATTTTTTCATGTTGACAAGATCTTTTTTTTTTTTTTTCCTGTTCTTCCGGTCTCTCATCTTAGGCTCATTCTTCACACAAATTTTCAGAAAACGAGTTTTCTTAAATTTTAGTGGTATTTCCTTAAAAATGGGTTTCTTTACTAATTCATGAATGTCTGATACTTAAAGGAGAAATTAGATTGTTTCAAATGTGACTTAAGAATCCTCAACATCTTTACTTAAAGAAAGATTAGACTTCTTCGAACGAGACATAAGAATCCTCTACATCTTTGTGGATAATCGTACTTAGTAGCAAAGATATTAACATTTAAACAAACATTTTAGGCTTAATGATAAAACTATCAATGACCATGAAGTCCAATGTAGGCAGAGATCTTGCAGTTGAGGTTATCTGGAGTTTATACCATGCTTGGAGTCACAAATACAAGTGAGCCCAAGACTTGTCAAATCAGGCGGAGGCGAACTTGATCAAGTGAGCGCTGATTGAGCATAACTCTAATGTCCTAGCCTAGATCAAGCTGGAAATAATTGGCTCAGCTAGGTTTTCTTGCTTCACGATTAATACTGGTGAAAAAAGGTGTTTGTAGCAATGAGAATTGTGAGGTATCTTTGAAACCATAATATTCAGAGCAATGTGAAAATGATCAGTGGTGATTTACGGCACTGCTTCAGAGCAGCAATTTCTGTTAAGAACTCTGCATCTAAGAGCGGTTGCTTCTCAGTGCACCTCCCCTAAAAACTGCTTATATTATAACAGAAGCTTTCCATAAGATGCCTTCATTCGTCAGCTTCCGAGGAAAAGCCGAAAATTGAACAATAAGATTGGCAGGTCCTCTGAGTCGACACACATTTCAACCATGAAAAAAGTCACTTTTCTTCCATATTTTCAGGTAAAGAGCTAACATATCACCATAGAGATGATTGCCGATGTTGCTTGATGTTGTGCTATATATATTTCTAATGCTTGCTTGCAAGAAGATATACCAAAACCAGCTATCATCAATCTTTCCATATTTAATAATTTCCAATTCTTAATGCATACTGCTAAGTTTTTCTTGGTGCTTCTCTCTGCGGCCCTAGTGTTGGGGCTTGCAGAGAGCTTCGACTTCCATGAGAAAGATCTCGCCTCAGAAGAGAGCCTTTGGGATCTATACGAAAGATGGAGGGCACACCATACTGTCTCCCGGGACCTCCAGGAGAAGCAGAGGCGGTTTAACGTGTTCAAGGCTAATGCCCGTCATGTTCACCAAACGAACAAGATGGATAAGCCTTATAAGCTAAAGCTGAACATGTATGCTGACATGACTAACCACGAGTTTAGAACCTCTTATGGGTCTAAAATCGCGCATCACAGAATGTTCCACCCACGTCCAGTGACAGAGTTCATGCATGGTAAACTAGAAGATGTTCCTGCTTCTGTTGATTGGAGAGCTAAAGGAGCTGTTACCCCTGTTAAGAATCAGGGGAATTGCGGTTAGTTTCTCATACAATTACTCTTAGAGTATTAGATAATATAGATTGCAAATTTTTTTCTGCTTTGTGGTACATTAATTCTTCTGTATTTAACAAAGTACTGTTTGACTGTTGTTCTTATTTGTTAAGATCATCTGCATTTTTTTTTTTACCAACCAACATGTAGATCAGGATATTTCAACGAACGGGTAAAAATCAAGTCATCTCCATGTCTGATCAGTATTCCATGACCTTGTAGGAGTCTCAAGAGTTCAACATAGATAATTAAAGATAAATAGAAACATAGATGTAACATACATAACGTCACAAGTTATCCCTGCAAATGATTATTTCGTTGAAACTTTAATGTATATAATCAATCCTTTTTCTTGACATTCAGTATCATATAGGTATATTGTGACCTCTCTCAGATCATAAATGCAACGATAAATCTCAGTTTAAATATTTTGTGCTTGTGAAGTTTTCAGACGAATTGCACAACTGTTGATATTCTAAATTTAAACAATATGATCTGTAAATGTGAGAGTCTGATGTGCTGACATATATCATTGTATCATCATCCATCAACTGCAGGTAGCTGTTGGGCATTCTCAACTGTAGCTGCAGTAGAAGGAATCAACCAGATCAAAACCAAACAATTAGTCTCGCTCTCTGAGCAGGAACTGGTGGATTGTGACCATGACAACGAAGGCTGCAACGGAGGACTTGTTGAGCATGCTTTGGGTTACATCAAGAAAGCTGGTGGAGTGGTCGCAGAAACCACCTACCCATATGCAGCTAAGGATGAAACATGCAACTCAGCTAAGGTTGAAATCACATCAATTTTCTTGAATTAATTTTGTAATAAGCTTTCTCATGTAATTGATTCATTTGATCCAATTTACAGACCAACACACCTGTGGTGAAGATTGATGGCTATGAGGTGGTGCCTGAAAATAATGAGGACGCTTTGACGAAAGCCGTCGCAAACCAACCTGTTTCCGTGGCTATTGATGCTAGCGGTTCTGATATGCAGCTTTACTCTGAGGTATAGTAGTCAACTAAATCATAGTCCTATTCTTTTGAACTTCAGGGTGAAATAAATTCAGTACAATTTTGAGTGAATTAGCAAAATTCAGTAGTGGAATTAACAAAAACACTAGTGAATTTATTTCGTGGAAATCAAGTGAAGAGAACACGGCTAATATACTAACCCTTATAATCTTCTTGTAACATCCTAGTCAGTTATTATATGTTGATGAAAATGGCAGTCATGTCAAACGTTTCAATACATTATTCACAGAATCGGTTCATAACATAAAAATATGAAGACCTCAGTCACCCTACGAAGATCACATTAAAAGATTATTTTGATGAATTCAGGGTGTGTTTAGTGGAAAATGTGGAACAGACTTGGACCATGCAGTAACAGCAGTAGGGTACGGAATAACACAAGACGGAACCAAGTATTGGATAGTGAAGAACTCATGGGGCCCTGGATGGGGTGAGAAGGGCTACATTCGGATGCAACGCGGTGTTAGTGCCAAAGAAGGACTGTGTGGCATTGCAATGGATGCATGCTACCCTATCAAGTCGTCTTCTGACAATCCGCAGCCTGCTAAGGATGAACTCTGAAGCATCATAAGACTTCAGTATTACCAGGATATCAATTTGTTGAAGTGAAATTAGCCTCATTTAGTTTCTTTTAATTGCAAAATTAGGCATACTTTTTTTTTTTTTTTACTTCGTATTTTTACATATCAGTTGAATAATACTAAATGTTTGGCAAGAAATAAATACTTCAAAATTTGATCATTTTCAGATATCAATCATTAAAGTGGAAGCATGTTATTTTTCTTGCCTTATTTCGGATTATTGAGTTTTAGTTACAGAGAAAATTAAATTTATCTGGGCCGGCCCAATGGGCTAGAGTAAAAATTTGAGATATTTGGTTCAAGATCTCAAGTCCGAATTCTCTTCTTTAGATTGGTATACATTGAACTCCGTCTTTTTATGTAACTGGGTTTTTCAGTGCGGCAGGCCACTCCGTGTGGCAGATATTACTTGTATTCTGGGGTTACATGTATGGATTACTTGTAGGTGATATTTGTATTATGAGTAACCCCTACAAGTAACACCATACCAAACCCCCATACCAAACCAATAACACCTTATAAGTAACTCTTGACCAAAACCAGTAACACCCTACAAGGCTACAAGTAACCCTTGCCACACCATGTGACCATCTGTGTACAAAAAATTGTATTTTTGTTTAGTTTTGCTTGTTTTATTTACCCATTTTACTACTTTTCCACGCCTTTTTTTGTATATGAACTTATATATATATATATATATATATATATATATATATATATATATATATATATATATATATATATTTATCTGTTGTCTGATTTGACTTAATTTTAACCTTACAAGTAGCTAATTTATAAGGAAAAAATATATCAAGTGGGGTTTTAATATTCATAATAACTTTTATTATATGCAATTTTTATAATTTTTCATTATGAAAAATAAAGATATATAACGACAAAAAACCGTACATAATAATAATATAATAAAGTATGATGAAAACTCATCTTTCTAATTTTATTTGACTTGAAATGTATTTATTTATTTATTTATTTTTATCTGATATGAAAAGATAACAAAACATAGCCTAAGTATGATAACATATGTAATTGTGAATAAAAAAAAATTAAAAAAACAAAGAAACGTGAGAATTGATGGAAAAAAGATGCGAGAAAGAGAAGGTGCGAAAGAGTGGCCAACCGTGCGGTATAGAAGAGCTCGTAGTTAATTAAGGGCACGCACACACTATCTGGATTCTGGAGAATGGAGACCATGAGTCGTGGTCCCTCCCTTCACCCCAAAATCTTTGACCACCTTTTTAAGTATTTTTATCTACTTTTTCACTGGAACTCGTAAGCTACAGTAATTAACATTAGTATTTTTTTTTTCTGTTAATACTAATTTTGTTCTCATTATTTTTATCCAACTTGCTCTTCATTTGATACTATAACAATAAGACTAATTATGGGCTAGAAAAGTACATTAAATTACATGCAAAGGGAGGACATGATGTTAAGGGCCGGGTACATGATTTCTATCTCTTTATGTATTCTTACATTTGTATTTAGAGAGAATTTAAGGAACAAGCTAGGGTTAATGCCGGTCAATAAAATTACATGAGAGATAAAGTTAAAGTAAGATAAACGACACAAAAATAATTCTGATACCGTGTACAAAATTGGGAGTTATTAAAAGAATTTAGTGCGTAAAGTTTACCACATAGGCACATACATCGGCTTGTAATTGAATATGTTAATGATTTGATGAGATCATATATATGATATTCAAGTGAAGTTTGTAGCGCATGTGTGATGTGTAGTGTTTACCTTACAAGCTAGTTATGTCATAAGCTGCTTTTGAAAGATGTCAAATTGAGTATATGACCTTGTGATTTGCTGAGGTCTAAATACCTAAGGATAATCTGTCTAGTTTTTTTTCCTATTATATGATGAATTATTTGAACTAGCTAATACCGAATATAGTTCAAAATCCATCATACATTTGCATACTGTATATACTTGCATAGTTGATTCGTCATCAAAATTTGGCTACCAGAGGAAACTTTGAACTTTTTTATTTTTCAATAACTCGAAAGCTTTTTTATTATTTTTTTAATACATAGATTGATTTGATCATATAAATGACAATTATATTCCAGATAATTTAGATGATAAAATGTACAATTTCCTTAAAATAAATAAATTAAATTTATCTTCTTTTTTTTCTTTCTTTTTTTTTTCAACATATGCAACTTCACTTGTCATATAGGGACATATAGAGAGTGTAATAAAGAATGAATTATTTCATATCATGTCAATACAAATTTAGACTTAATTTTTTTTTTGTAAAACTATCTAGGGAGATATAATATATATCTCATATTTGGTCAATACAATAGTAACACAACTTTATTTAATTTCTATTATCATTTAGGGACATACTTCGGGCCTCTTCTAATTTACTGAGCTAAACTGAACTGAACTAGAGAAGAAAATTAATTAGGAACTGTAATGAAATTAACCTGAAGAGAATAAACCCTTCCTCTGTTCTTTTTTGCTTGACTGATTTCTTTTATCGCGTTTGCCAATATAAAAATTTATTGATCAATAACTTTAATTCTCCATAAGTACAAATTATAAAAGATATTTTATGATAGTTCTTATTTAGACAACTTCTAAAAGATCTCACATGAATATAATTATTTTTCCTTATATATCCCTACCTTATAAAAAGTAGGAGATTGCGCTTATGAATAGTGCACGGACGTATATGTCCTTTAAAATGTTTGTTTACGTTCTTACCCCCATATATAAACAAATATAATAATGAGTGTTGAAATTTCCCTTTATGCACTTTTATATTATTTATTTATATTATAGGTAAATATATTATAGGTAAATTTAAAGTTCACCTATATTGCAATATTGCATTGTTGAATAATTGCTAGATATTTCCGAAAAAATAAGTTGTAAACAACTGAAAAAGCCGTGCATGAAAAATGAAAAGTTTAAACACAACCTAATATACACATTTCATTAATTTATCAAACTATTTACTCTAAACTCAATGTTGTAAAGTGTTTAACCACAATCCAATATGAACGCCAGGAAAGGGCAAGTCACTCTGCGCGCGTCGCGCGCGTTAGTTGCCCTAGTTATTAATAAAAGACGGTTAAAAAAGTAGTAGTAAATAGTGTAAAAATAAAAAAAGATCAAGTAAAAAAAAACCAAGAAGTAGATAGATAGAGTGCAATACTCCGTAATGGATGAACTTAAAACATGCTTGTTTTGAAACAAAATTGAAAAAGATCATTACATGTACTCTGGACTGTACTTATTTGGCAATATCATCGTATATACGGAGTATAATTTTTCTTCCGACATAAGTTGTATGTGTATTAATAAGTGTTTGCTGTGAACCCTTTAGTTGGAGTAATTAAAAAAAATGAGTATACAACAGCAATATAAGAATACTAGTAGCAAAAATTTGACCGACACACCTATCAAATATCAATACATAAAATTGACCGCGAAAGGCATGTATGTCTGTATTTTTGTATAGATAACAATTACGGGGTATAAGAAAAAACATAATATGAAAATACTCAAATAATGCCATTGGATTTTTATATATATTAAGAAAACATCGTTAAAAATATGTATTTATGTGTAAATGTTTAAAAAAAAATTGAAATAATATAAAATGGGTTTGAGCAACCTAAACTTGGTGGAGAAGAGTTCGATCCACAAATAAAGCCCCAAAAAGTTACATACTAAAACCAAAACTAATTTGTGATAGAAGGCAAAACTCTTCTACCTTATAAAGTAGAACAATTATTGATATCTTCACTTTTTACAATGAGTTTCAACAATAATATATCGTGGCTAAATATATTGTTATAAAGTAGAACCACTTTTACGAGCATTATTTATCATGGGTAAATAAATTGTTATCTGTTGGATGGGAGCTCATGTTAATGCCCCAAATGTCCTTACTATTTTTCAGGATGTTCGTCATAACGTTAACCTTTCAGTTAAAAAAGACTAATTATTCTCTATATAGTATATAAAAATTTGTAATGGTCTCAAATTAAACTTTTAATTATAAATATTTTGTAGGATAAAACACGTTGTTTTTGAAAAATTCAATTGCTAATGAATGACATGGAGGAGGCTTACTTTGAGGTTGTTTTTCCCTGATATGTGTATCAAAAAGCTAACCGTGCAGCAGATTATGTTGCGGCTACATGCTATTACTTTACAGACTATGTAAACATTAATCTTAATGTAAATGCTAATTTTTCTTATTTCATTTCTATAAAGATAAGTTAAAGTACATTCTTTGGGGTTGTTTGGTTGCCAAAGAAAAACATGGGAATTTGGAAATCCTAGGAATTGAAATTTTTTGAAGTTGTTTGGTTAACAAATTCATGGGAATTAGAAATTCCCATGAATTTCCATTTCCCACAAAATGTGGGGAGTTAATAACCTAGGGGAATCTAGGTAAGTGGAACTTCCCATGGGAATTTCCACCTCCCTTAGTTAACCAAACAATTTTTAGAAATTCAATTTCATATGGAAAATCCATTTTCCTTCCAAGGAATTTGCAATTCCTACATTCAACCAAACGAGCCCTTAAAAGAAGAATTACCTAACTTTTGTAAATTTCCTTCCTAAAAAAATACTTCCTCCGTTTTTTAAATATTGCACCACTTACCTTTTAAGGAAGTTTCACATTTATTGCACCATATCCATTTTAGGAAAAGAAATTTATGTGTTCACACTATAAATACCTAATATACCCTTGCTTTTCAACCCTTACTTTTATTTTGTGCATACAATCACATGGGCAACTTGGTATTTCTACCTTTCTCTCTCATCTTTTTTTCCACTACCAAAAAATTTGTGCCAAACCCTTATGGTGCAATAATAAAAGAACGGAGGAAGTAATAATAACACTCCCTCCGTTTTTTTTATTTGCATCATTTGGGATTGCACGAAGTTTTAGAAAAGTAATATAATATTATGAGTGGCTGAATAAATTATTATGGTAAAAGTAATGTGGGGACATGGAAGTAAAAGTATGTGAGAGAGATTAATGGGGACCATAAGAGAGAAATAATAAATTAATTTGATTGGGGTTTAAAGTAAGAGAGAAAAATAATAAAATATAGTTTAAAGTTACTATACATAAAAGTGATGCAAATAAAAAAAAACAACCATAAACGAAAAGTGATGCAAATTAAAAAAAAAAACAAAACAAAAAAAA